GAACAGCGGCAGAGGTTAGCTGATCACTGCCTTGCTAGCACAAATAGAAAAATCCTCACCTGCCAGATACAGCTTCAACACCTGTATACAGTTTGATCTCACAGACTCCTGAAATGTTATTGCAACACAAACAGCTGAGCATGATAAAAGTTCACCTACTGGGATTGTGGATGAAGCTCAAGTACGTTTGCTTGCATAAATGGACATTACACAGAACAGAGCACACATTAGCATTCAGGCAAGTGATACTAATCTGCACCAAGTTTAGTGTGTGAGCAGGTGTAAAGGCGGATTTATACTTCTCTGTTCAAGCTACACCTTTCTGAAACATAATCAGAAATGTGACGAAATGCAACCACATGCCAACACAGACCGCACAGGAATAAATGGTGCAAAGGCGATGCTTAGACTAGATCTCAAGCTCTCATTTAACCAGAATCTCTGAGAGACTTAGGTGCTGTTAACCACTGCTCCTTTGTGAAGTTGGACTGAAAAGAAAAAAAATATTTAGATCGTGTGAGGTTTGTAACTGTATTTGACAGGCTGGGGTTTATAATTACAGATATCCCCTAAGGCAGCACTGATAAGTATGTTAGATATGAAAGGGCAAATCAGAGGGAAACGTGTTAACTGTCAGTTTGATGAAGTGAGAAACGCAACTTTGTCACTTCATCAAGATGTTATTGGTTGAACTGGCTGGTCAGTTACAATCTCAGTCAATCTTTCGCCTGAATTCCTCTGATAAAGACCAGAAGAGCTCACTTTTTTTGTTAGATATTTTACTCCAAGGCTGACGGGAGGAGGGAGGCTTTCTGTGGGAAAATGTGCTAATAGGGTCTCAAATGTACCCTCTGTGTGAACATATGTGACTTGGAGAGAGGGAGGAAAAAAGTGAACACTGTCAATCCGTTCCTGTCAAGTTCCTAACTTGAGAGAGAGAGGACTGTTAGAACTGGCAGCCAATATGTGCTTTTCTAGTTTGGTCTGGATTTTTTTTTTTTTTGCCTGTCTGCCAGATTGTCTCATTGCCCTTTTCCTTCTTCGCCTGTGCCAGCCTGGTGGTTTAATCAGAAAAAGCAGCTGGGGACAGGGAGAGGAGCTTGTTTCTAAGCCTGGCTGATTTACTGGCTCCTCAGACCTTCTTTATGTCTCACCGGCTAATGGGGCTAGCCTGGCAGCTTCACTGGAGGTAGACAAAAGAGGCAGTAGACAGGGAGGCTAGCAAAGCATACAGCACACATGACGAGTGACGGGAGGCGTCAGCAATAACTCAACACACAGTGCACATTCTGTGGTTAAAGTAGCCCATGCTCCGTATGGTGGAAGATGATCAAATATAGTTTTTAATCATTCATATCTTTACATTATATTCATCACTGAAGGGTGAGTATTGTCATGGTAACAGCTGTGTTCTCCCCCTTTCGTTTTGTTCTCTATGTTCTGTAGTCTGTCCTCACCTCATCCAGCAACCCTCTGAGTTTTTTATTATTCACCTCAGTTTCAGCGAGCAGGCAGATTGTTTCTATCACCTAATATCAATCATCCAGATTCACATTTTCCTCTGTCAGCCCAGTGTCTGAGTTCTCAGGTTACAACTGTGAACGTCATCATCAGGATTCAGTTCTCACTACATGTTCTGAAACCCTAACAAATGTACTAATTAATAAAATTAATACCATTTTTGCAATCAGTGCATAGACTTTTCATTTTTAACCCCTAGGCCTGTTTTGAATTGTAACACCAATCTGTAGATCAAATAGACCTTGCTGTTTCTTTATTTGGGTGTTCACCTGTGATACATGGCTCATGACTCCCCTGCTTCATCCTTCCTATTGTTTATGTGCCAAAATGTCCTTTGACAAGACACTTAACACCCAAATTGGGTTAAACAGTGTCTTCTAAACCCAGATCCTTTACCTTTCAAAATATGTACACTGGTCCACTTTATACTGACTTTATAAGTGGTTAAAAAAGTGGGCAGGTGGCACCTCTATAATGACATACTACAGCAATTAAAGAGGCTTGTCTAGTTACTTACAATTGAATTATTCAGTTACCCTTTATTTTGCAAAAAAGGACAAACGCCTAGCTTCCATAGCTGTAGCAATTAGCTGGTATTATCTATATTGGGAAGCTAAAATGTCGAGCACAATGAGTATTATGAACTTTCAAGCTTATACCAACAAATCAACCACTGCAACATCTCTTCTCCTTTTGTTTTTGTGATTTCCTTTTGAGTAGGCCGTCACTGGCATCTGATCCTTTTTCCTTGTACAGCAAATGTAAACATTTCTTAATTCTTTTTCTCGTCATGTAACGTAAACACACACTTAAAGCGTTATGTTTTTGTGAAAAATTCGCCCTCAAAAACGCGCGGTGAAAAAAAGTTGACATTAAGCGACAATGAGCTGGTCCTGATGTTTTGACTGCGTTTGAGCTACAAGCGCACTTGTTGCCACATGCAGCGATCTGATTGGTCTACTTTTTGGAAAAATTTGAAAAATGACACAATCAGTCTGATTGGCTAATTTTATAACACAGGAAATATTTTTTCAGTCTGGTGTAAAACGAGTGGCCTTAAAACTGACTGTTAATTTAATTATACCTTTACAGTGTCCAATGGCTGCATTTTGATTAGTATTTTAGTTTGGAAGGAGGTTCCTGGGTGGACCTCCTGCTGGAAAAGGACATTGCCATGCATGTTAGGTTAACTGCTGATTGTAAATGATCTCTGGAAGTGCGACTATGCAGTCGTCTGTCTCTCTGTGAAGGACTGGAAACATGTTGAGGGTGTAACCTGCATTAATGTCGGGCCTTTCTCTTACAGTATGAAGAGCCTTGAGGCAACAGTTTTGGAACTATATAAATAAAATTGAATTGAACTGTCATGGCAGCTGGATAGCTGGTAACCCCCCATGACTCTGAGCTGTATAAGGAGACAACAAAATAGATGGATTCTGGCTGATTTTATAACCATGGCTTAGTCTTATGTGGTTTTGAAACACTACAGAGACATCACAAAGACAGGCCCTAAAATAACAACTTGCTTTTGATTATACAGTTTTAAATTCACATACTCGAGTTCAATATCTTGGATACGAAAAACACAAACACACACACAGCAACCGAGTGATTTATTATTGGCTTATCCACACGTACATCTGGAGTGAACACATCTGGGATGGATGGGAAAGAGGCCCACGGATTCGATTCATTTGCTATGTCACAAGACAACTGTTGTTATTTGTGCGTCTGCTGCGTTGGACTCTTTCTCTTAAACATGTTGCTTCTTCTGATTTGGGCTGTACTTTGGCGATTTCATCAGATCTGCTCTCTTTCAGCCTGACTCCAGATGAAAATAACTATAACCTGTGCCAACTTGCATTCTGATCTGTCTCTGGGACTTTTTCATCCACGAAACGATGCGAAGCTAAAACAAAGCAAACAACAGAAATGGAGACGCTGGCATCAAAAAATTGATTGTCACCAGCGTGAGGCCTTTAATGTCAATTTTGAGTGATGTCATTATCACCACAGTAAGCCGCAGCACTTATTTTTTCAAACGAAAGGGCAATCAGATTTCAATTTGCAGGCAGGAAAACACATTTTAATGCCATCTGTAAACATAACAGGCCTGAAACAGTCTCGGCTGAGGATGTAATGATGCTCGCTGCAAATGGGTCATCTCTCGACACAGATAAACTAGCAGGTAGACCTTTTTGGGAGGACTAGAAGATTGGCAGATACATAAATCAGAGAGTCAGAAAGGTGGATAGGGACAGAGCTATGACAGATTAAGTTTGTCCGCTCTGCTGTTCATAATGTTGGTGACAGGGATGAAGATAAATATACAGTAAGAGAGGCAGACACTCAGTAACCAGATCTCTCTGCGAGAGAGACAGAAGCAACCGCTCAAAGACATCCAGAGTTTCACCGCTGCTTTATTATCATCCTTTCTCCTCACATTTCTGTCCATTTACTTCTCAAAATCTAATCACGCACGGGCAAACGGCCATACCTAAAGCCTCACGCTTACATACACACAACCACGCGAGTGCACAGATGTCATGCACAAACACGCACGTGCCACACAGGCGCGCCTGCACAGACTCCAAAGTCCGTAGGGTCACATTTCGTTCATTTAGTCACATGTGTGCAAACACGCCCGTACAAGAACACTTATCCTGCTGCTCTCACCTCCGGTGGTTGCTAAGCAACAGCACATATCCACAGATTGTTTACGGAGCCTTGCAATATAGTTCATCTCTAAAGGGAGGCGAGGCAGGGACCGATGACACAATCCCCTCAGATGAAAAGAATAAGCTGGTCCATCCCTTCGCAGGCAAGTGGGCAGTAATGCAATGAGTCCTCTTGCTCCCCACTGGGCGACGTGAAGCGACAGATGACAGAAATGTTTTGTGATTTAATAGCGTGTCGCTGAAGCGAATGCACCCGTCTGAGATCTCTGGTGCTGAGAGGCGAGGCATGTGACATCGTGTGCCATGCATCGTTATTGTTTTCATTAACTCTGAGGGCAAAACTGATAAAAACACACTTGAACTTTTCCCTTTCGGCGCCAATGCGATGTAGAAATAATAAAGGCTGTGCCGTTTGAGCTCTTGAAAAGATGACACATGGACACAGCCTCAAGTATCAGAGGTCAATTTTTTCCAGTATACTACACATGAAAGGGCCTCTAAGTTCGGCAGTTACAGACTGCTGACAAATTAAAGGGAAAAACCTGAACCCTTGACCCCTTCATTGACACACTGGCTTTGTAAGGCTATACGGCACGTATCAGCATCCCTTAAAGGGAAGGGTTACTGAAAATCAGTGCAAAGTTGTTTTGGGTGATCGCCTTTATCTATTTGCTCATTTGATGCTGAACACTGCAGGCTCTGTTTAATTTTACAAAAGTCTGTTGCTCTGGGAGAACAAGCAGAATAAATCAGACCCGTGCGCCAGACCCGACAGAAAGGTTTGGTGATGTTTCCACTCACATGACTGTGTTGATTCCTGAAAGCTGCTGGAACATCTGAAGACCACAGCCCACCACCAGGGCTCGTCGTGTTGGGGGGTAGGTCAGCATCCGCCAGATCACCGGGCCATCTGAGAGACACAAGCAAAGGTACAGAAATGAGTTTTGCACGCAGCACAAGATAAGATAACCGCTATGAGGAAAACAAGGCTGAGGCAGTATCTCAAGGGCGACATGTGAAAAAGAAACCAGGCGTGAAAGTGCAGTTCCTCAAATGGCCACTGGCTGGCTCCATCACCAGAGATTTCTGTGTTAAATTGCCCAAATTTACAGTCATCAACTGTATGTTTTCCTTTACTACATCCATGAAATTTCTCTGAGGTCTTCCTTTTTTCCTCTTCCTGCCTGACATCTTCAACATCCTTTGTCCGGTACATTCACCATCCCTGCTCCGCACATATCCAAACACCTCAGCCTTGCCTCTCCAACTTGGTCCCCGAACCTCACAGCCTGAAGTGTTCCTCTGATGTAATCATTCCTAATCCTGTCAATTCTGTCTTAACACCTTTAACTCTCCTGTGTTTTTGTCAGTACCACCATCTTCAAACCTTCTTGTAACCCTTCCCTTTGACTCTTGCTATTATCTTCTGTCACAAATCACCCCTGACACTCATCTCCACCCACTCAATCCTGCCTACACGCTCTTTTCATGTCTTATATGCACTATCAGTTGCTTTGGATGGTTGACCCCAGGTGATATAAAACTGCATAAAGATTTATGAACATGGCATGAGGTGCTAGAAATACAGGACCACTTCTTAATTGAAAATTTGCCTTCATAAGTGCTTTAATTCTTCTTGGCACAGATTCAACAAGGCACTAGAACAATTTCACAAATATTTTGGTCCATATCGGTCATTGTTAAGTTCAGGAAACCAGTTTTAGAAGATGTGACATGGTGTGTTATCCTGCTGGAAGCAGCCATCAAAAGATGGTACACTGTGGACATAAAGGGATGGGCCTCAGCAACAATACGTGGGTAAGCTGTGGAGATAAAACGATGCTCAGTTGTTATTAAGGAACACAAAGTCTGCCAACATATATTCCCTACAATATTACAACAACACTTCTGCCCATTGATACATTAGATGATAGGTCCATGGTGGGTGTATTCGGGTTGTTAACGTCAAATGCTGACCCTACTTTGTGAAAGTGGCAACAGAAATTGAGACTTATGAGAGAAAGCCAATCTTCTGTTGTCCAATTTTGGGGAATCCATGCAAATTGTCGCCTCAGCTCCCTGCTCTTCGCTGGCAAGAGTAACACCCAGTGTGGTCTTCTGCTGCTGTAGCCCATCTACTTCAAGGTTCAATGTGTTTTTGTGTTTCAGAGATGCTCTTCTGCAAACCTTTGTTGTAATGAGTCCTTTTGAGCTGCCTTTTGAACTACTTTAACCATACTCCCCTAACGTTTGGAATCAACGAGTGAATTTTTTCACCCAGAGAATCTGTGCTCACTGGATATTTTCTCTTTTTCAGATTATTCTCTGTTTGGTTGCATAGATTAGCATTTTCTGAATTACTCAAACCAACAGTCACGCCACGTTCAAAGTCACTCGAATCACCCTCCGTTCCACAATTCTGGTGCTCAATTCAAAATTCAGCAGGTTGTCTGGACCTAAATGCGCTGGGTTGCTGCCATGTGATCGGCTAATTAGATATTTGCATTAGTCAGCAGTTGAACAGTAAGTAACAGTATGTTAGCTGGCTGCTGCTGCTGCTGCTTTAATATTTAACACATATAGATGAGAGTGTTGTCAACCACACAGCTTTAAAAAATGTCAAACCGTTCTCATTAACACGAGTGGAACAACGTTCAGCTTAACCATGATCTAATTAAAAAAATGCCACCAAATATTTTCAAACCGCACACAGGAAACTCAGTGGGTTTGTCACCATTAGTTATCCATAACAGATTTCTGATTTAGTGTTTAAGTTAGCATCATGAGTCACACTCTCCTCAAGCTGGAAGGCATAGCGGAAGCAACCATGTGACCAAGCGAAGATCTCTTACACAAGATGCTGAGGTTTTGTTTGTTCCAGTGATGCCGTCCTGTTGCTCTTGAATGTTTTGGAAAAACATGCAAATTTGCCTTATTTTCTTAGTGCCATTTTCCTCTTTCAGATGGCGGATATCTCACTGTGGGATGGAGCAAATATCTGAATTTGGCTTTGGCCACACAGAGTCCTACTTGGCTCATCATCGGAGCCAGACTGCGATTTCCAACGCACGCAGACTAGTGATTCCTTCGGGAGGAGAAGTCTTAATAGGATGAGAGAATGGCTGGACAGGCATGGGGCTCTGGGATGAAGAGGGAGACATCCAGAGTGCTAACAGATCAGACAAACAAGTCTGAACACACACACACACACAGGTAATATCAGGATACACAAGTGACTGTGCAAACACGGGCAGAAAATACAAACGCATCACAAACAAGGATGCATGAGCCTGCACATATGAGCTGATGCGCACAGACTGAGTATTTTGGAGCAGCTGTGTGTGGGAGGACTTTGGACCAGTGAACATCTCCTTTTGCTGTTTGACAAGCAGATCAGACTCTGTAAAGGAGGCTCCCGCTGACACACAAACACACTTAAGCCTACCTTTTAATGGGTGCCTGTCAGCCCTCGTTGGAGGATATTATCATCAACTTTGAGTCTTTTCAAACCTGAGATGCCGCGAGAGGCTTTTTAACTTTCATCTGTTTTTCCACATTTTCACAGAAGACTTCTCCTCATCTTTTTATTTTGAAGAGATTGGAAGCAATTCTCACAGCAGCGTGAAGCAATCAAAAACATAGCTTTTCATGATTTGTGATGTTTTAAAAAAAAAATCACGCACCATGGCTCAATTTAACACCTACGTCCTTTCCAGACGTGTCTCGACGAGCTCTGCACTTATTTTATGGAGGTTTGTTTTTTAGATAGAAAACTCGCATCACTTCAGTTTTAGGTGATTGGCTTTTGCTTTGCTTTGTTAAACACAGCTTCAGCTTTGGCAATAACACCAGCTCAGCTCCATCTCTACCCAGCTTCCTTTAAAAACCCCATGATTATGACAATCTTATGCTAATGATAACTTGGACCTGTAAGCAAGTAATAATTATAACACATTATATCCAAGTATATCGAATGTTCACCAACACTGACATGAGAGCTTCAACCCTAATTTCATATAGCAAGTCTGTATATGCATAAGGTAAGGAGGGAGCTTGTACCTTAGTAATAAAAGCACTGTTGTATGCTTAATATATGTCAATATGGGATTGTTCAGACTTTGAAGTTTTAACAAAATCATACTTTCATACACAGTCTCCTATTATCAGAGGCTAAACATTAATGAAATAATTAACTGTCAGGCAGTTTCATAATATTGAGGATTGTTTTCTAGTTATTTAATGACAAACGAATCAGACAAATCAGATACTGTAGAAGGTTTGGACTTGATTTCAAGTGTTAAACTTGTGCAAGTGACCGAGGCCTGCGTTAGACTGAAAACTAAAATAACTAAAATAACCATAGATTGTTAATTTGGAGTGGCCAAAGACTGATTTCTTTTCTTGGTTATGAAAAACCACAATATCACATTTATGGAAAGAAATGAAAAGTGTTTTCTACAAGATGCAAATCACTGGTTAGACTCAAGAATAGGAAAGTTAGATTAGACCTCATCAAAAAAACATCTAAGAAGAAAAAAATTTTCTGGACAGAGGGAACCAAAGTTTTACCAGAATGACAGGAACCATAAAGTGAAGAAGGAAAGGAGCAACTTCTGATCCAGATCATATCACATCATTTGCCAGACATGGTGGAGGCATTTACACATATAACTTCTGAAGTGTACAAGGGTATACTCTCTGCTTAAATTAAGCGAAATGTTGCAAAACTGATTAGTCAGTGGTGTACAGCACCAATGGATAGCTCAAGGCACAATCCAAAGGCAACCCAAGAAATTCTCCAAGCAAAAATATGGGATTTTCTTCAATTCCCAAGTCCGTCACTGGAGCACATTTTTTCGACTATTAAATAAAATACTGAAGAGAGACGCACAAATAAGCGGCACGTGAAGGTGTCTGCAATAAATTAGAACATCTCAAGAAAGAAAACGATTCAGACAGTCATTGTCAGCAAAGGATTTTCAACCAGGTATTAAAAACAGTCCATATATATTAAAACCTAAGTTAGTTTGTCCAGTTACTTTTGAGCCTCTGAAACTGGACTTTGAATAAAAATGTCTGCATTAAAATCCACAAATATAAGGTCTGACTATGCTGATCCTAAATAACCAAAATACAAAGAAATTGTGTAAAAGCAGAATGCAATCATTTCCAAAACTTTCATGAATAAATATGAGCACATTTGGAATTTGAAGGCAGAAATATACTTCAAATAAGTTGGGATGGGGTCACAAAAGACTGGAAAATTAAGTTCCTTTTCCAACTATATCTCATGTAGGTGGATATAACTTGTAGAGGAACAGCTTCTTAGAAGTCACGATGGGCAGAGGTTCACCAATCTGCAAAAACCCCCAATATCTACAAGTTGTGGAATTATTTCAGGTTAATAAATACCTAGATGGATAATGTTCCTCAACATAAAATTGTGACTTTAAATAGCAAGTTATTTAGAGTACATAATATCATCAAAAGATTCTGAGAATCTGAAGAAATCTCTGTGCACATTGGGAAAGGCTTAAAATCAGTACTGGACATCCATGATGTTTGTGCCCTGCAGCGCTGCATTAATCAACTGAAAACATCTGGGGCATAATGAAACAAGAAAATACGACAAAGACTGTTGAGATGCGAGAATACTACCATATTTTTCAGACTATAAGGTGCACTTAAGATCCTTTCATTTTCTCCAAAATTGAGAGTGTGCCCCAATAATCCGGTGTGCCTTATGTATGAACTCTGGTTGTGTTTACTGACCTCGAACCAATTTTATGTGTGTATGCGTACATCGTGCTCAAAAATCTGTCAAAATGTTTTAGTTCGTCTTTATCTGACTGTTTTGCTTCGCTTAATGCGCCTTATGGTCCCAAAAATATGGTATATCAGACAAGAATG